CTGCTATGTTCTTATTTATAGCTGTCAAAATGTCCATCATTTAAAAGAGACTGAGTTCACAATTGACTTTGACCTTTGACCCTTTATTACATGATTCACTTCTGGTGTAGTAATTTGCATCCATTTGGATTTGATGTCTCTTCTAAATGATGTCTATTATTTGTTATCTAAATATCTTAAAGGTAGATATAAGATGGATATGGATGTGATTTCAAAAATGCTTGCTAAAAAGAGTAAATATGTGTATAAAAAAAAAAAAAAAAAAGTAAAATATATATGTAATCTTAAAGGTGTAACGAATGGTTAAATGTGTGCATTTTAAAAGAACTGTAACACATCCTTTTCTCTTCTCTTCTTTATTTCGGGTTTGGTTTTTGGAAAGTGTAAATTACTTTCTGAAGCAATTGGCCAATTAACAAACACCAGCTGGACTGCATATCTTCATTATCTTTTTTATTGTTTTTCCTTGTGTTTTTTTGTGATTCTCTTTCTGTTTATAGATCTATTTCTCTTTTTCTCCATATCGACGTTTTTTTCTCTCTCTCTGTATCTACCTATCGATTCATTTCTCTCTCTCACTCTACCTATTTCTCGATCTATTTCTCTTTCTGTCTCTGTTTCCGTCTTTTTGGTTTCTCTCTCTCTCTCTCTCTCTCTCTCTCTCTCTCTCTCTCTCTCTCTCTCTCTCTCTCTCTCTCTCTCTCTCTCTCTCTCTCTCTCTCTCCTTCTGAACACAACCCCGAACCCTCTTCCCTTTGAGTCCAAGCACAAAAGCTATCTGGAAAGATCAAAATGTCCGACATAAATTATCCTCTTTACGACTGGACGTAACTGAACCCATCTTCTCTAGGCTCCTCTTTGACCTGTGTCGCAGCGGGTCTTGCTTTTTGCGACGCTGGGGAGGGGGGAGGGGGGGGGGAAGAGACCACCACTGCTTAAGCCCACGCCCAAGGCCCACGTGCAACGCCACTCACGCCCAGGACGCCCATGCGTTTTGATACCTAACCTTTATCCGTGTATATCCCCGGGACTTTTTTGATACGTACAGAAAGCCCCGGCATACATACGCCCACATATCTAGATAGACAGCTGGCCACACACCCCAATGCACTTATGGCAACGCGACAAATACACGCCCGTGCGCCTATTCATTCTCTGACACGAGGGATATGTGGGTGTATGTTGTGTACACTTTACGCCGTCTCCTCGCGGCCGAACACTTGTTATCTTGAGCGATCATGCGAGTCATCGTCGGTGCATGAGGCGTTGGAGGAAAGAGCCATCAGATGCAAGGGCGAACAATGGTAGTTGACGTGTTTTTTTTTTATTAATGACTTTTCTTACTTATGTTTGATTAGCATTATTGATATTGTTGTGGTTCTCGTTGGTGTGTTAAGTCTTTCCATGTCGTCATTGTTTAAACTATTAGCAGTAATCTTGTAATGATGGTAATCATTACCATTATCATGCGATATGAATATCGGTAAATATGATATTGATAATAAGTTAATTCAGTTACTTATAACGAGGACTACGGTACCGATGATTATAAATACGATAAACATAAAAATTGCTAGCAATTAAGCAAGGAAATGAGGACGTTTATGACAGAGGCGACTTCGACAGGCGTGCAGGCAGAGTGGTTCCACCTCCCCCACTCCCCTCCCCCGAGCGTTGACAGTGTGTGGCTTCCTATGTGTGTGACGAGACGCCCTTAGTGACGGAGCTCTTTCTTTTCTCCCTCTCCCCTCCCCCGCCCGCCGCTCTCCAGCTGCGAGGTGTCAGAACCTGCAGTTCGGTGAACCTTGTCCCATTTTCACGCAGCCCGTCACCCCTCTCCACAGAGGTAAGGCCCGGGCAACACGTCCATCTCATGCTCGTGCCTGTAGTAGTGGCTGCTCCGCCCTCCTGGCTCTGCCCTCTCCTCCTCCTCCTGAGGGACGCCGGGAGAGAGGAGGGGCTATTGTCTTTGAGATTTTTATCTTTTATTTATTTATTTTTATTAGAGCTGACCCTCCTTGTCCTTGTCATACGCCTGGTCCTCATCGTCCTTGTCCTTGTATTTCCTGATATTTTTTTGTTTCTATTTTCCTCCTGTCCCTCCTTGGCTTAGTCTTCTGCCGTTATTACGTCCAATTCCCTTTCTACCCCTCCTCCTCCTCCTCCTCCTCTATCTCTTCCTCCACCACCACCTCCTCCTCCTCCTCCTCCTCCTCCTCCTCCTCCTCCTCCTCCTCCTCCTCCTCCTCCTCCTCCTCCTCCTCCTCTCCTCCTCCTCCTCCTCCTCCTCCTCCTCTCCTCCTCCTCCTCCTCCTCCTCCTCCTCCTCCTCCTCCTACACTCCTGCTGCTCCTCCTCCTCCTCCTCCTGCTCCTCCTGCTCCTCCTCCTCCTCCCCCTCCTCCCCCTCCTCCTCCTCCTCCTTCTCCTCCTCCTCCTCTTCCTCCTCTTCCTCCGATCTCTGTCTCCCTTCGACAACGAAGGGACGAAGCTGTAGTTACCTTTATTACTACTGTGATACTCTTGGGCTTGACCTTTACTCCTCTCGACTCCGATCCCCCTGTGCCCTTCTCCTCCCCCCCCATCCCCCACCCCCGACGACGCGAGACGTGCATGCCGGCGTGTCCTCCGGCGCAGCAGGAACGACACGCCCCTTCTCCTCCGTCCTCTCGGCTGCGTGTGTGTGGAGGCGTCAGTAAGACACCATAACTTGAGGATTTAAGAGACAACTAACTGCGATGGCTTCATGACATCACAAAGGACAGTGCCATGATGCACCATCTGCAACAGATTAAACCACCTGCAATAAGCCTATCTGTGGGTTTTCGCTTCAACATTACCTTGATTTATTAGTCCTACAAGGTCATCGCAGAGGTCACGACAGGTATCGTGGCATCTTAGATGATGTCATTATCATGACAGTGACGTAGTTAATATAATTTCCAAAACGATGAAGTCTGCGATGATATCACTTGCAGACTGATAACAGGATTTATCATGTGATTTATGAAAAGATGTCGTTACCAATCACACATTACTTGACCTTTCTTGACCTTCCCGCTGTTGACCGAAAGCTAACCCGTGAACCGCGGACCAAACAGCTGACCTGAGCTTCCTCTGTCTCCCTGATCGCATGCGAGTCTTGATCTCAGAAACACTCTCTTCTCTAGCTTTTCCTCTCACCAAGACGTTATTTTGAAGCAGTTTTATTAATATTTATGAGCAGTTCGATAATACCTTAAGCAGTTTAATATTATCTTAAGCAGTTTGATAATATTTTAAGCAATTTAATATCTAGAGCAGATTAATATACATCATTGACTGTTATTGTTTGAAATTTTGTTAAAATTACAATGTGACTGATTGTTGGCCCACGAAAAGTTGAATTTTGGGATGCATTCGGAATATATATATATACATACATATATATATATATATATATATATATATATATATATATATATATATATATATATATATATATATATATATCATGCATATATATGCATATAGTGTTGTGTATATATCTTTATAAAATATGTAAAACAAATAAAATGATCTACTACTTAAGTAGCTTTCCTATGAAATATGTTTTGGCGGTTATCAGCGATTTTCTAAAACCTCAAAATCAAAAAGAATAGTAACTGGAAGAGACAGGAAAGCTTTCCGAGCTCCCAAAAGTCACTGCTCCAAAATGCTGCTGCTGTGTCTCCTGTAGATAACCGAAAGGTTGTAGGCTCGCTTGGCTTCTTGTGGCTGAACCAAAAGCTAGTGATGGCATCAGCGAAAAATGGCGTTTCGTGTTTTTCTTTTTGTTTTGTTATTTTTGTTTAAGTCACTGCTTTCATTTTGTTTCGTTCAAATCCTAAAGTAATCATTTTGTTTTTGGGTTAATTCATTTTCTCTTAGATGTTGAATTAAGCTTTAAAGATCTGACTTCATTTGTAACTTTATCGTATATATTAGATAGATCGTGCATTTTTGTGCTACCAATTCCTGTCAGTATTAGAGTAAGCATAAAAACAAGCTAGATATCATGTGAACGCAATGCTCGGAGCCTCCCTCGCACGCCGGCGGAGCAGAGACCCGAAGACCCGAGACCGAGGAGGTGCAACCGGCAGCATTACGGAGTCAGTCTTTCCCCCTCCCCCCCAGGTGGCCACTCCAATGGTGGCCGTCAGGGCGGTTCGCGCTTTTACGGAGTTCGCTACTCCCAAAGTGCAAGCCTGAGAACTCCCGCTATCCGGAGGTCCCAGAGCCCCGCTCGGAGCCACCAGGAGGTGGTGGGAGCCAAAGAGCTTTTCGTGGAGCCGTACAAGTCAGGTCAGTCGAGTCGGAAGGGAGGGGCCCCGCCGCGACGCCTCGGCGCACGGCCTCGGCAGACCGGGGAAAACGAAAGAACAAATCCGGCAGAATTAAGATTGGCAGTTACCTTTATTGAAAAAATCCTGAATTACGAAGAGCCGGGCGAGGTGAAGGGTTTTTCGAGCGCTTCCCTGAGCAGGCGTGGCCGAGGCGTCGTCGCAGGCGCGGGCGCTCCTTGTTGCTTACCCGAGACCGGAAGCTTCGAGCACCCTCCCCCTCCTCCCCCTCCCGCTCCCCGACCCCTCTCTACTGGGTGCACCGCGGCTGTTTAGATGATCATCTGCTGGAAACCTTGAGGAGAAATCTGCGAAATGGAGGGAAAAAAGAGACAAAGAGAAGGAGAACAGAGCAATAAGGAGCAGATTATTTATGCATATCTTCTCAGGATTCATTGATATTACGGCATGTCACGGGTTTCTACCTACTGGTTCCCTCAGTTGGAAGTCGCACGCGCTGGAAGCAGATTTCCTCAAGGTTTTTGAGGACGATCCGCTCACTTCGGTCATGAAGGCTGTGTTTATTGTTCTTTTTATCATTATTGATTTATTTGCCTAAAGTGCAGTCGGGAGGTAGACAGACAAGCCTCCCAGTGTGTGTTGCCGAGCCTCGAGGATCATTCCCTGTCCAAAGAGAAGGGAACATCCTCATTAAAAAAAAGAAAGGTGAAAAACTGGCCGGCCTAAAAAAAAGCCTTTAAAAAAATAATTCCATAACTTGCCCCAAAGATGTTATTTCTGACTCGACACAACTCAGTGACGAGGACGAAGCATGTGATGCATTCTGACCCCTTGCAGGAGACATTCCCGTCACCCACGAGGAAGAGACCAGTAAGTATCCGCGGCGCCCTTTGCCCTGTCGTCGGGAACCCGGCTTGGGAAGGAGGCGGATCCTACGGCAGGCGGCTGTGGGGGTCCCTGTGTGCGTGTGTCTGTGTGTATGACTGTGTGTGTGTGTGTGTGTGTGTGTGTGTGTGTGTGTGTGTGTGTGTGTGTGTGTGTGTGTGTGTGTGTGTGTGTGTGTGTGTTGGTGTGTGCATTGGTGTGTGTATGTGCATGCGTGCTTGTATGCGTGATTTTTGTGTTCTACGAGTAAGGAAGGGATTTTGTCTAGGATATATTTTATCAATATTCTCGTTTAGATAAATCTATATATGCAGTGTATGGCAGACTGAAGATTCATGTATGTGTGTGCATTTATTGGCTATGTTCGGCATTTCTTATCATTGTAGATGTGTGCGTTTGTGTATGTATAAGTGACTTTAGAGTGAGTATCAAAATATATTAGAATCTTTTGTTCAACAGTAAAGAGTCAGCATATTTATGCTGCTTCTCAGAGGTAAGTCGTTCTTTTGGTGTATTAGTAAGAGTGAGTTCGTAACTTATATACATATATATCATTTATGAATATCAGTTTCATTTTCAAAGTCTAAGTAATTCAGAAATTTCAGAACAAAAGTACTCAGTACTGCAATAATTAATTTCAAATTCAGTTACATTCATTTGATTGGATGAATCACAATTCCTTCAAAATTTCAATATAATTATGATTCATTAGACTAGTTAGTTGTTTCCGTAAGCGCCGAGACGACCGTCGGCTGCCAGACTCCTGCTCCGCCCTTTCTGACGGTGATCTGACCTCCCGCAGGCACGATGCTGGTCAAGACGCTCAGCGAACTCATCAACACAATCAAGGAACTCCAGGTGGAAATCCAGACTCAGGTGAGAGGAACGATTTCGCTTGGGCAATTTTGGTCTCTGTTTGACTGGATCGTGGTGATGGTCCTTATCAGTGTCGACCGCTTTTTTGTGTTTGGTTTGGGCTTACCTCCTGTCCAGGCTGTTTTAGATTTATCATAGGTTTATAATATCAAGTAAGTGTCAACAGCTCCAAAATTTCGTCTTTTGAACTCAAACATGTTATTTTTTCAAAATTGAATTTCATTTTCTTCGACTCTCAGGTTCATATAGATAAATAGATGAATATATAAGCTAAATAATATATCTAATAAAACAAAAAATATATAACGTTCATCTCCCTTCGTTTTTTTCCACAGCGTGAGGAGACCGCCCTGCTCCGGGACGCCCTCCTCAACTGCGAAGCCTGTAAACCGGGTAGGGGAAACCGCTTAGGGCGTTAGTTTTGCCTCTCCACCCACAGCACACACTCCCACTCAACTCCCCCACTGCTTCCCCTTTCACCCTGTGTGTACTCGCACACAACAGGCAGGCTACAGGTGTTTGGGTCCCGCGTTGGTCTCTGCGGGAGGGGGAGAACCCAAAGGGGTTACTAGGCTTCGTAGGGCGTGTGGGAAGTGGGTTTTTACCTCGTTCTCGTCTGGTTTGTTTCTTCCGCATCGAGGTGGTTGACTCGGATGAATGTTGTTAGGACTCTTTCTAACATTAGTAGGATTTTGAAGGATGCCGATACCGGTCTGTAAGTTTCTGGAATTTTACCAAAGTTCGACAGTAATGATCATGTGATAAAACAGCTTTGATTTTTATTTTCTTGTTTGCACAAGCGACGGGGAATTTAATAATAACTAAAATTTATCGTTAACTGTATGGCGCTTTTTTTACATTTAGGAACCTGAAAGTATATGTGAATAGAGCAGAAACTTAACTTTTCTCGAGTTTTTTGACTGATTAGTAGATTATTGTAGTTCATTCTGCAATCAATTTCATAAAAAATGTGAGCCTGTTAACTTTATCCTTGCTTTCACTGATGCTCATGGATACCCAAATGACAATTTTGAATAAGTTCCGCCGGTGATGAGGGATTTCATTTAGCAGAATATTTCTGTTATTATCTTTTCAAATCTGCGTTTGTTTTTTACGTGAACCGTTCACTTGTGAGATAATTTTAAGAACTGATAAAACATTTTACAGTACTATTGTAATTTGCCTCCCAAAATTATTTTGAAGATATTATTCATTACCAGTTACAACCCAAATAATTAATGCAAGAATAATGATTGCGGAGTTAATGTTTCGTCATGAGTGGTCGGTATAATCACATGGCTTATCGCGGACAGAATGATCCTCACTTATTTCCGAAGTTCATTAATTTCAGTTATTGCATTAGCCAATGCGTTTAAGACTACACTATCAGTTTTCCGTCTTTCAAGTGCTTGAATAAGG